CTTTTGCCTTCAATCTTTCCCAGCATCAGGGTCTTCTCCAAAGAGATCTCTCTTCGCAATTGCTGATGTTGCCATGCAGGAAAAGAACATCTGAAGCTGCAGAGATAGAATTACAGTGGGAATGTGGAACGTAAGAAACATGAACATGGGAAAGCTCACACAGTGAAAGATGAAATGAATCAGCTACACATAAGCATATCCGGCATCAGTGAATTGAAACGGACTGGAATTGGAAACATCCATTCAGAAAATCATACTATCTACTACTCAGGACACAAAAAACAAAGAAGGAATGGTGTTGCTTTCATAGGAAGGATATAGCAAGAACAGAAGTTAGGTACAATGGAGTCAATGGCCAAATAATATCAATTATACTTCATGGACTACCCTTTCATATGGTGGTTACTGTATTCAAGTTTATGCTCCAACCACAGATGCATAAGAGGTTGACAGGTTTTATGAAAAACCTAAAATTGAAAGAACCTAAAGCAAGTTGTCCTTCTTGTGGTTGGAGACTGGAATGTCAGTTGGAAATAATGAGGAGGAAACATAATTGGATTGTGTGGCCTCAGAATGACTTGCCAGTTTATGCCAATCCAATTATTTTTTCATTGATGGAGATCCAGAGGAACTGTGGAATGAAATCAGGGAAATTGTTAAGGATGAATACTAAGACTCCAACCAAAATATGCCAGCAAATCTGGAGAACAACACAGTGGCCAACAGATTGGAAGGGGTTAACCTATACATCTATATCAAAGAAGGGAGATTTAACAGACTATGCAAGCTATCATACAATGTCCTTCATTTCACATGCTAACAAAATAATGCTTAGGATCATCCAAAAGAAATTACAGCTGTACATGGAAAGGGAGATGCCAGAAGTTCAAGCTGGTTTTTAAAAAGGCTGAGGAGAAAGAGACCTTATTGATGATGCATGAGGGATAATTGAGAAAGCCAAATACTACCAAAAGGATTCAATATGTGCTTCACTGATTATAGAAAGGCCTTTGATTATGTTGATCATATCAAGCTGTGCGATGTTCTTAATAAAATGGGAATCCTGGAACATCTCATTGTCTTCATGACAAACCTATACACAAGAAATGAAGCTATAGAACATGGCAAAAAAAAACCCCCTCCAATATCTGGCTCCAGATCAGGTCAGGAAGCCACAGTCCTCATGGAATATGGCTTCAGGTTGTCAAAGGAGTGAGTCAAAGCTGTATACGTCCTCTTATTTATTCAACCTATATGTTGAATATATATTAAAGGAAGCAGGATAGAAAGAAGATAAGTGTGGCTTTAAAATTGGAGGAAGAAACATCAATCTGTGCTATGCTGATGACACTACTCTGATAGCTGAAAATGCAAGTGACCTGCTAGCTTTAGTCATGAAAGTCAAGGAGCACAGTGAACAAATGGGACAATGATTAACTATATAACTATAAAGAAGATCAAACTAATGTCAACATTAACAGCAACAAGCCTTAGAACTGACAGTGAAGATGTTGAAGTGGTGGATAATTTTTGCCTTTTAGAATTAAGTACAGGTAGTCCTTCCTTAATGACTGCCCTGTTTAGTGACTGTTCAAAGTTACGTTGGCATTGAAAAGTAACTTTATGACCAGTCCTCGCACTTGTGACTGTTGCAGCGTCCCCATGGTTACATGGTCGACATTCTGGCACTTTGCAACTGGTGGGCATTTAAGACGGTTGCAGTGTCTCGTGGTCACATAATTGCCATTTGTGACCTTCACAGCTGGCTTCCAACAAGCAAAGTCAGTGGGGAAGCTGGCAGGAAGTCACAAGTCACTATCATGTGATGTCTCACTTAACAACTGTGGGTGATTCACTTAACAATGGCTTCACTTAGCGACAGAGTTGTCGGTCCCAATTGTGGTCATTAAGTGAGGACTACCTGTATCAACCGTAAAGGAAGCAGCAGTCAAGAAATATACCACAGACTAGCACTTGGTAGCACATGAAGGCCTTGGAAATGATATTCGAATTCCATATCCTGTCTGTTCTACTGATCCAGGCATTAGAAGCAAAAGATAGACTTTGAAGAAGCAGCATAGAAAGAGTACTGACACTTTTAAATTTTGATGTTAGAAAAGATTCCCGAGAATACCATGGATAGTCAAGAAAACAAATACATGGATCATAAAACAAATCAGTCCACTCAAGACACAAATGACCAGGGTCACGTTGTATATTTTAGATACTTTATGCAAAGACCTAACTCCCTTGAGAGGTCCATAATATTGGAAAAGGTGGAAAGAAAGAGAAGAAGAGGACTACAGCAGCAAGGTTAATGGACTTGATCATAGCAGTGATGGGTATACCATTGGGAGACCTGAACAACCAGGCTGGGGACAGATCCTGGGAAGGTCTGTCTCTGAGGCCATTAAGAGACAGTACTGACTTGATGGCACATCATCAATCAAAAAACAATTTTGATGTCCAGGAAATTGCACCCCCCCCCACACACAAAACCAAGTTGGCTTTGCAGAAATGACAATTAGGTTTGGGTACAATGTGGAATAGGACACAATCTTTTATAATGTAAGAATTCTGATTCATGGGAAAATCCTTTTTTTTTTTTTTTTAATGGCAAATGGCTCTGTGAAGCATCAAGAGACTGGCTGTGATGGGGTAGAAAAATGTGTAAAAACATGATATGAGATAGATTTTTCTGATAACCTTTACTGCTCTCCCACCTCTTGCCCTAAATGGTAATAGTTCCATAAAAATTGAGTCTAACAAACATTTGGCATGGCACTTACTGTCAATACATTTGCCTATGATCATAGCCTAAACAACAACCTTATAAAATGTAGCTTTCAGTTAATCTGACCCTGCTAAGGCAGAGAAGCAAACTGCTATAATGCAGTTAAAATCACTTCAAATTTGTCAAAACGTATCATTACAAGGGAGGAAGTGCATCTTATTTTTTAGGACTTAGTATGGGAGTAAGGATAATCACCTTCTATATACTGGCAGCATTATTTCCAAAAAGTGGATTTTTTTCATGGCAAACAGAGAAAGCATGCTGCCTTCTGGAATTACATCCTCCAGAGATTTATGTAGCTCCCACCCTAATGACAACTTGGTTGTTTTCCCAGGTCTTGGGAAAGGGTGATTGTGGGCTCCCCATGGTTTTAGGTTTTTTTATTGGTTGTGTATATTTTTCTGGTCTGCTGTGATTTTTTTCTATATATGTTGTTTTTCTTTTTTAATTGCAAGTGACCCATAGTTGTTAAGGAATTGGGTGGCCTTGAAATTTAATTTAATTTAATTAATTAATTAACTAACCTCACTGCATGGAAACATTATATCAATTTTCACTATTATGGAAACTGGTTTCATAAAATAATTGCTCTGCTTGTGTGCCTATCTCTCTGTGTGTGTGCACATGCTGGATTTGGCATGGTAGTGTGGTATGCTATGACAGCAGTGTTTTAGAATGATCACTTGTATGTGACCATTCCAAGCACAAAATAATAAATTGATCAAATTAGACTCTCATGTAATCCCCATTTAAGCAAACATCTCAGTGTTTATTGTTAAGCTACCAGTTCTAATATGTACAGTAGCTCTGTGTGGCTATTAAAGATAGCAATTGTCTCTTCTTTTGGGAAAATTTGGATATGCCACAGTCATTAAATAATTGTCCCTCATTTACTCTGGAGAGCATTCAGTAATAGTTTTTTCCCGTTCTTCAACAGGAAAACAAGATTATAAGAAAACCAAGCCAATGTTAAAAGCAGCAAGACTGAAAGCAGAGGCCAAAAAAACTGCACCAGGCATAAAGGTATGGATGGTATATATTTACACCAACTTCCAATAAATATTAGTTTTCTTTTACCCAGAGAAGTGTTGGGTGAATATTGCTCTTTAGAGATTGTTTATCACATTGGTGTATTTGTTTTAGAGATTGTTTATGGCACTGCTAAACTCTAATAAACTGAATGCCAGAAGCTAATATATTCATTGACTTAACCCACCCAAGAAACTAGGATAACTAAAATGAAAAGGCCGCAGTTTTGTTTGAGAGTCAATTGCTTTGAACTTTCTGAAACATATTTTGGGATTAACATGCACAGAATTGATAAGCATTCTTGTTTTAAAGCAGCTTGTGAGCTATAGTAGATCAAATAACTATTGTCCCTAGCATGCCATAAAATGTTGCACATCTTATTTATTTAGTTTTTGAGATCTAAGTCCCATTTACTTCAGTAAGATTTACACAGAAGGAGTATGTATAGGGTTAAAGTCATTCTGGTAGTTATGTGTAACTAATGAGTGCAACTTTTTAAAATATATAGCTGTAGGGCCAGGTCCAACTTCCAGTATGCAGCTGATATTCTACTCCCCTCCTCAGATCAGCCGAATCAACCCTAGCGATTTGGCTGTGACATCTGTCATCCTATTGATCGCCAGGGTTGATTTCACTGATCTGGCTAGCTAGGCAGATATCCCCTTCCTCCCTCATGCTCCATGTGTGTCCTTCCCAAAGCTGTGCACTCGGAGGAAGTGGATGACCATCCCAGATAGAAGGAATGTACTGATCTCTGCTAGAACCTCCAAACAAGCTCAAATTCAGAATAGCATCTTCCAGGTATACCCTGATCCTTCACAGAAGAATTGGTAGGTTTTCAGAGGGCTGTAGGAAGAAAATAATCAATAACAATTTTCATCTTTGACTCCCAATATGGTAAATTATTGGTTTTGCTATCAGTGACCCAGCAAAAGGGTAGTGGACTTCAAATTAGTTTGAAATGCCATTTATTACCTAAAGGACTTGATAAATAGTATTAGGAAGCATGATTGGCTAAACATACATAGTTTATTTAAATTATTTAAATTCCTTCTGTTTCCCCTCAATTTTGGGATGCTTTAAACTGAATTAACATGAAATCAGTTTAGCAACACACGCTGAGAGAAAAATGCAGTTAAACATTAAAAAATGAGGCACCTCCATTGAAAGAATTTCAGTAATGCTCAAAGAAGAACATTTTCTTGCTGCTGGCAGAGGAGAGATTTTTTTTCCTCCCAGCTTAACTTAGAGGAAATGGAAAGGTAGTACTTCAGTGCTGTAACAGCTGTTGAGTTGCCCCATGATACATTTGGTTGTCTTCCAGAATTTGCTATTATAATCATGAAACAGAGGTTTCTTTTTGTTCCCTGATAGCTGATCTCTATCAAGCATTGCCATACAATACAGACTATTTTCATAACATAATCTCTTCCATCAGTGCTGTGTCAGGATTTAATGAGAAAAAAAAATCTTTTTTTTTTCCTTGCTTATTAAAGGCAGGTTATTAACCTATTAAGTTGTACTATATTTTTTCTTCCCCTTACTGATTCAATCGTACCTCCTTTGTCCTCTTTTTCAATTGACTGCATGATAGATTTGAAACTAGCTTCAGTCAGGACCAAGTTATGTAAAATGTTGTAAGTTATAGCAAAATCTTTCTCTCCCCCTGAAAAAAATTCCAAGGTGCCAGGGCTAGCAAATACATAGTCCTGGATTGAGAGTGACCTCAAATTGGGAAGCCATGACTTCTAACAAAGACATTGGAAAGACCCAAAATTAATGAGCTTTAAAACAGAATCCATCTTTAAAATTAAAACACTTTACCTAAGTGTGATTAATAATAAAAGGTTTCAGAAGTGAGGATGTATATCACATTTCCCCCCATGTTCTAAGATTTGGGCTACTTCACACAAGCTTGCTCATATCATTTGATTCTGAACATTTGAACATAGTAGTTGATGTCTATTGAGTTTGTAAATGGACTCCATAAAGAGCACTTATCTTCAAGGATTCAGATAATTCACATATAATGAAAGCTGGTTTAATGTTATGTGAATAATCCTAAACTCAAATCTCAGTTCCCATAAACATTCAGATTTAGTTTCCTATTGAATATCACAGACTGCAATAGTTAGAATAAAACATAGATTCCTAATGTAACAGGCAAGAGTATACATGTCTTGTACTTAATCTCTAAATTAAAATTGCAAACCATGGTTTGGAGGAAAACTCAAGTCACAGCTGGTCAGTTTGGATATTAGAGCAAATGCATATGTGCATTAAAAAAGGAAAAATGAAATTGGATTTCAGGTAACAGGAGAAAGGATCATCCTTGTTTATGCAACCTACATTTTAGACAACTGAGAATGTTACATCTGATATTCTTAGTGTGATGTGATATATAAACTCTAGCATGGTATAAATGCTAACAGTCTACTACTCTGGGTATGATATTCCCTGATATCTTAAAGCCATCTGTAGAGCTGAATACTCTTGAGTAACTTTAAACATCCATCATTTCATTATGGTCTTGAAACCTTAAGATCAATTTCCAGTGTAGGAGAGCTTTGTATTCAATCCCAACAAATGTTCATGGAGCAAAGTATTGCACAGGCTGTTAAAAGCAACATTATGTGGTGATGAATATAAAAATGGTATGCATTTCCTATGTATCATCTATACTTAGATTCCATTACATTGGAAAGAACAACATGTGGGTAGTATGAAAACAGACAGACAAAGGATGAAAACAATTTCATAGAGCAATGAAAGTGCTAGATATTACTGGGCTTGGAAGATCTGTTATTGTTTAGAATGGAATTCTGATTTCATTGCATTTCAGAAATATTCACTTAATGAAACATTCTTTCAACATTTCTTATTACTTTGTTTATTGCAGTTATTGAGTTTCCATTAGGAATGCAGGTTTGCAAAAGTTTGCAAAAGTTTGGTTTTGTTTTTTTGTTTTTTGCCTGAGAATGGGGCCCTAAACTTTTCTAAATCAACCCCAGTGTGGTACTTTTGATTTCATCAGTAGCATGTTAATTAGTATATCCTGTTATATTTTGATTGCCTGCCATTTTCATGTAGGCTTGAAAATAAAAAAGTTTCATTTAGTCATTGCCATTTAATACTTTGTTAATTTCCCCAATGAGTGATTTTTATCTGTGTTGATAATGTCAATGTAGCAACTTGTGAGCAATAAATATCCAATATTTTTTACTCTTCCTGAAGAAGGATGACTGCTTGATTGCTGAATTTATATGCTTTTTGATACATATTACAAGCTATTCGTGTGTTGATAGTTTCACTGTTAAAATGCTAGTGAACAGTTCCTGGGTACTGTTTTCACTTATTCAACAAAAATCCTACCTGCATCCAAACTGTGACCATCATTCATAATTTATTTAAGTTTAGAAATGAACAGGACCTCAGTTTCATGCTATGTCTCACCAGATACTTTGTTAAATACCTCATCTGCTTTAAGATAATGACCTGATGCACAGATTGCACTAAGCCAAAGTATTAGTTTATTTTTGGCAAAAGGCATGGTTGAGTAGCTATGGTTTAATAAGATACGGGAACCCAGCCAGTGGATTTTCTTGAAACTTCTAGAAATGCTTAACATATTCTCTGATCTGAGAAACTTTTGTATGTTTTCCTCCAAATGTTTAGACTTCTCCCATAATTTCTACATCTGGAGGGCATCAGCTTGAGAAAGGATGTTGCAGAGTATCACGAACATATTTAGGAATGTTCACAGGAAACATTAAATGATTAAGATTCACTGTCAACCCTTGAGAACAAGAAACATGTAATTGCTAAAATGTATAAACTTTTATTGAAATTTGAAATGGAAGAACAAGTGAAAGACTATATGATAAAATGGGCTAAGAACTTTGGACATAATATACTGAAGGAACAATGTGGTTAAAAGGATTGAAATTTACATTATCTTATAACTTAAAAGAGAATTTTTATAAAATGATGTACTGTTGGTATATGACTCCAGAAAAATTGTTTAGAATGTCTAAAGGTACTTCAAATTTATGTTGGAAATGTGGACAACACAAAGGGTCATTTTATCAAGCCTAGTAGACTTGTAAAAAACCAGAATTTTTTCGGTTCAAATACATATAATGATACAAAGAATTTTAAAGATCAACATTCAACTAAAACCAGAACTTTTTTTGCTGGAATTAATGGACAGTCAATTAGAAAAGAGCCATGGAAGGTTATGTTTATATATGATTACTGCTGTAAGACTATTATATGTGCAAAAATGGAAAGACTCTGAAATACCACATCAGATGATTGGTTGGTGAAGATGACAGAACTAGCAGAGATGGCAAAATTAACTTCTTTGATTAGAGAAAGATCAATAACTACATTTATTAGTGACTGGAAACCCCTACGGACTTTTTGTTGAAAAAGGAGAAAAATGAACTTGTGATTTATGGTTTGAAGATTAGAAAGGGTAGCTTATGGAAAGAAGGAAATTATGATGTAACCTTAGAGAGGGAAAGAATAAAGTATAAAACGTATCTATAACTGCTGTCAAGAAGATCAGAAGCCACTTCTTTAGAACCTTTCCTTTCCTTTCCTTTCCTTTCCTTTCCTTTCCTTTCCTTTCCTTTCCTTTCCTTTCCTTTCCTTTCCTTTCCTTTCCTTTCCTTTCCTTTCCTTTCCTTTCCTTTCCTTTCCTTTCCTTTCCTTTCCTTTCCTTTCCTTTCCTTTCCTTTCCTTTCCTTTCCTTTCCTTTCCTTTCCTTTCCTTTCCTTTCCTTTCCTTTCCTTTCCTTTCCTTTCCTTTCCTTTCCTTTCCTTTCCTTTCCTTTCCTTTCCTTTCCTTTCCTTTCCTTTCCTTTCCTTTCCTTTCCTTTCCTTTCCTTTCCTTTCCTTTCCTTTCCTTTCCTTTCCTTTCCTTTCCTTTCCTTCCCTTCCCTTCCCTTCCCTTCCCTTCCCATCCCATCCCATCCCATCCCATCCCATCCCTATTATTTTTATTTCTATTTTTCACTTGCTTATTATTTTTGTTTATTCTTCTTTAATTCAAAATTTGTACTGTTTTTAATTCTGTTGAAAAACATCTTCAATAAAAATTATTTTAAAAAAAGAACACAGAGCATGGCATATAATCTCAGGGAGTGTCACGCTGCAAGGTGAGGTCTTTAAGGCAATTTTGTACACCATTGCTAATTTTCTACTAAGAAATTCTGATGTGCTTCTAAGACCCAGTTTGAAAATCCGGGTGAAAAAGGAATGTCATTTCCTATAAATTTCAGAGGAGTTTGGTGCATGGTGCAGGATGGGATTTTGGTGAGGGGTAATATAATGAGAGAAATACATAACAGCAAAATCCATTAATCAGCTGGGGCCCAATTCTGAAGCTAGTTTAGCATAGGGATAAGCCAGCTACCAGGCAAAATAAAATGGGAAAAGCAGGCAGAGTAGAAGCTATAATATCCAGGGAGATGGTAGGATTTCATTGTCTGCTCCTGAGCAGAGGAAGCTTGTAGTTGCGTGCCACTCATGCATTGTGTTTTCTTGGGATGCTAGATGAATCTGCCATTGCAGTAGAGATGAGAGTATAATTAAAGCCAGTCTAGGCTGCCATTGCATTTTTATATTTTATATTTGTGAGTACATGCCTGTGTAGTTTCATACAATAATTTTGGAGATGATCCCTGTTTTTAATTCCATTAGATGAAACCAGAAGATGATACTGAAGCTTAAAATAGTCTTCTTACCTTCTTTACAAAAATGGAGATTAGGAGTGAAAGAATACCGCCAATATAAATAGTTTTTTTAAGAGATCAGGAGTTAAATTCTTCATGTGGAAAAGGAAATTTGGCCTATCTGCAGAATGATGATCCACGGAGAAACCTTAGCCCAAGGAAGCTATAACTGAAAAGTGTGTAAAATGGCATATACTGAAGTATGCATCTAAAATACTGCAAAAATATAAAATGGATTCATGTAGATGTAAATAAAGTATGTTCTAGAAGAGCCTGTCAGATCAGCCAGCAGATCTCCCTATTCTCAGAAGTTGACAGGAAATTTAATTCTTTAGAACAATGTTCATCCTCTTATGTTTGGGTTATTTTTTTTAATGCTTATGAAAAGAAAATGTCTCTGCCTTGAGAAAATCATTCAGTCCATTTTGTTCTATGTTATGCAGAAGAAACCTCCTTCCAAATCACATGCATTTCTCTTCTCATCAGTCTTTCTTGTACCATTGTCTAAAACTTTACTGATAAAATGCTATTTAATTTTAATTTTTAAAAAATGCATTGGTGTCCTCTCAAGTATTTCATGCTGCAGATTTGAGATCTGAGCTATAATTGTACTCCCCATAAAACTCATATCCTTCAACACATTTTATGTATCTGTTACATTTACGTTTCAGTTGTTTTGGATATGCAGTAGAGCAAGTTGCTTTTTAAAGCTGAAAGAATCTGAAGAGCTGTATACTTTTATGGTTGGATAGCATGAAATCTGAAATGGCCCTGAAGTCTTCTGTGAATTCTGCCTTCACAAACCAGAATGGTAGGCCTGTGGTTGCAAACATTTTTCAGTAGGAACCTTTCTAAGCTAAACAAGCACCTAACCTAAACAACCATGTGTGTGTATGTGTTCCATGTATGCATGTACACACACACACACAGACACACACATCAGCCTGAATCAGTCCTCTGCAGAATGAAGGCCTCTTCATTGTGGCCTTTATTACGAATATTACTATAATCTATTACACTGGTCCAGCGCAGGTTGAGATAGATGCTTTTTGACTCCTTGGCCTGTGAGGGATTGACTGGTCCAAAGTCACCCAGCTGGCTTCCAGGCCTAAATGAGGAATAGAACTTGGGTCTTCCCACCCCTAGTCCAGCACCACAACCAGTACACTACACAGTCTCTCATATGTATTTGTATGTGAAATCACAGTGGTGCCTACTAACAGAAAATGTTGCTGACCCCTGGTATAACTATATAGCCACTCCATAGAAAATAAAAATGGCTGAAACCACAATCAGGAAGGTCCTGATTCCAGTAAAAATTGCCCTTTGCTACCATAAAATTTGCCAATAAAAAGAGCTTTCATTCCAATTTGAAACAGCATCCTCTGACCAACTATGTGTCTGGTGGGTGGTGAGAAATGCTTTTCATTAAGGTTGTGGCAGGAAGAACTAAATTCCCCATCTACCAGGACATTTAAGTTTCTCCAGATCCATGCTTAAAATTATCAGGTGTATTTACGATATGTAATTTGTCTAGAACAGGTTGGAATCCATAATCTGAAAGAGCTTTGGAACCCACATGTGCTGAAGTGTAACTCCCAAAATCCCTCACCACTGACTGTGCTAACCAATGTCCTAGCTTTCCTAAGAAATGTTATAACTTTGGTCTAGAAAATATTGGCAGAAGGCAGTTGTTTTTCAAAATAAAATTCTGTTAAGGTATAGGCCCTGAAGTAAAAAGTAAAAACAAAAATTCCCTTGAGTCTTGTTGCTTAAATGTAGATGCATCCAAGTAGTTTTCTTGACAACAATACAGAAATGGTTTGCTATTTTCTTCTCTCAGGATTTTTTTTTTAAAATTTACTAGTGTAGTCTATATCCCTTGGATTTCCTCATGATCTCCCATCCAAGTATTAACCAAGAGAGACTTTGGTTAGGTTTTTTCAAGATGAGATATGGTCAGCTAGATACTGCTATGTGTTTTGATCCTCTGGAGTATGAGACTAAAAACAAAAAATCTCCAATACAATACGTGTATATATTTTAAATTGCTGGATTATGGTCTGTATTAAAACCATTCAGAGGATCTCAGTGGCTACTGCTGATTATAATGATGATTGCATTTATAAAATTAAACATGCAGCTCTTATTTAACTTAAAATAATGCCTTTTTTTCCTTTCTTTCTTTTTAATACAGGAAGTCAGCCTTGTCCTTGCAGCTATATTGGTATTTTTATTGGCATGTTATGCTTTTTTTTATCTTAACCTTTCCGAAGAAGATGACCTAGGTCTGGAAAAGGATGAAAATTAGCAGAATTGTTTTTGAAGATTTCTTCTAGAAAAGCATTATTTTTGTCTACTTCAGCCATGAACACCTGCTCGTCATGAAAGTGGATAAAATGTGATTCAGTTCCTGCAATTCAGAAATTAATAATACACTTGAGACTATCTCAGCCAGCCTTATGGATATTAATGAGGTTCTTCTCCTTTTCAAACTGTAGTTTATTGGCTAAAGTTGACCTTTTTCCTCATTTCTTTTTCAAACTGGAAATATTTAATTCCAGAAAACAATTTCCTATATTCATTAGCGTTACTGTGTGGGTGAAAAGAATTTGATTTCCCTGGAGCCATTTTTGAATGAAGTCACTTCTATTTTTAAAAGATGGCAACAAATACAAATTACAAAAATGACACAAACACAAACCAACATAATCTGTGATATCTGTAGACATATTTCTATTACTTCCAGGTTGCACTAATTGCTGTGGGAGTGATTTGGCACATTCTTAATTCTCATCTCCAGGACAAGGAGAATTGATATACGTTGAATTGTATCTGGGCCATACATGGTATTTGTTGGATTAAGAACTGTATAGCATGATTTGCTTTGTAAATTAAACTGATGAGCTGGGAAGTGAGTCTGCTGTGCACAGTCCTATCATTACCAGCATTGTATGGGCTTCCTCTTTGTACCATAGGACTAATGCATCAAAACTACATTTCATATTCTCTTGGTTTTAGTAGGACAGTAAATCACATGCTTATATTCCACTTAAGCTGGGAGATTTTAAAAGTTCACATTTTTATGGAATAGTCATTGGTATTAATATTATTTGAAAAACATGCACATTAGCCCTGTACCAAGACCTAGAACTCAAAATGATTCATGGTATGCCTACTAGGAGTAGGACCCAGAGCACAATCTAATTCAAATATAAGGCCTTTGAGTTAAATGGAAATCTTTCCAAAATACATGTGTTCAAAATTCTACCAAGCTGTTATTGTTCAGTCGTTAAATTGTGTCCGACTCTTTGTGACCCCATGAACCATATTGCGCCAGGCCTTCTTGTCCTT